GCGACGTGGTTTCCTCGCCCCCCTTCCCTGTCTCCTGCCCGTCCAGGGTCCCGAACGGGGGTCGGGCCGTTTTCCGCCAGCACAAGGAACGGGCCCCACGCACCTGGAGCCGTTGGTTTCACCCTTTAGTCTTCCTGTTTTACCTTTGTCCCGCCTTGGCTGTTGGCCGCCCCATTTTGGTTCGGTGTACAGCCTCTCCCCCTCCCCTCTCTTCCTCGGCAGCTGTTTGGCTCGTGAGTCCGTGTCTCGCACATTCCCTCGAGCTGCGCCTCTCGTGCCATCCGCCCGACCAAGTGATGGCGCCCAAGTTCTCGAAGCCTGCGCCGATGCCTTGGCCTGCCAAGACGTGCGCCGCGGGAGGGGCACCAACTTCCAAAGCAAGGCCGACGCAGCGTACTGTCCAGCAGGTAAGCGTGTCGGAGAGCGAAGACGAGGAGTTCGACATGATGTCCGAGGCGGCGACCTTTCGGACGGCACCGACAGTGCACGCGGAATCAGCGACCCCCGCCGAGGACGCCGATGGAGGCGGCGGTACGGGGGCCGCCCCCAGTGCCGCCGCCTCCGATGGTGCCTCGGCGATGTCCGCATCGGCAGTGGTGCCAGTGACGTCGGCCGCTCTGGCAGCGGCAGCCACGTATGCCGACTTCACCACGGAGCAGCGCCGTGGGCTGGACGCGCTCACCCTCGCGCTCCACAACCTTCAGCTGAGGGAGCAGGCTGTGGGTGGCCGTGGCGCCCGAGGCGCGCGCAGCCCTGCTGACGGCGGGCGCGCCGTGGACGACGGGACCGCCAGCGAAGCCCCGGGTGCTGCGACCACGGGTGCCCTCAGTGGCCAGGGAGGCAAACGCCACCGCCGACGCAGCAGCAAGGCCGCCTACGGCCAGGCCCCCCAATCGAGCGACGGCGCTCCTGCCGCGCTCGAAGACGCAGAGATGATGACGGAGGAGGACTACGCTGAGGCGGGCTACGTCCACTGCGTGGGCGCGTACTGAGTCCCGCCGCACCGCCTGGGCTGGTGTCGGAGGTGCACGGAGCTGGACGACTGGAAGGTCGTGGCGGTGGAGTACGTGGACGAGCTCAGCTGTGCGGAGATGCGCCGCTATGCGGAGGCCAACGAGTACAATCAGCAATGCCCCGAGCTGAGGAAGGGCAAAGATGGGCAGTACAAGCTGTACATGTGCTCGCGCAGCGTGGCGACGACGCAGGGCATCTCCGAGCACGAGGCCGAGACGCGCGCTGCGCGCGCGAACAAGGGCCCAGGCTCCATCGACCATGCCGCCAAGCGAGTGGCGAAGTTCCGTGCGAGCTTCGACTACATCAATGAGGGCATGGACGTCCTGGTGGGGTTCGCGCTCTCAGAGGAAGGCTTGCTTGCCTTGCGGAGGTCAACGGAGGGCGTGGGGGTGGGCATCGACCCTTAGAGCATGGGTGCCCCCCCAGACACGGAAGCAGTGGCGAGGGAGGTGGGCCGCCCGATGGCGAGGGAGGTGGGGGTGGTGCCAGGGCCGCCCCGTGCGCCACCCCCGCCCCTCGAGGAAGAACCTCAGCCCGACATGGACGCTGAGGATCAGGGGCACCAGCTGACCGACGTCAAGACCGTGAAGGAGGTCACGGACATTGAGCCCCTGCTGCGGCTCGGCCTCTCCAAGAAGTCGCTGAAGCGCATGGCGCGGGCCTATGGCGTCCTCAAGTTCGAGACCATGCGCGCCCACATGCTGGGTGGCCTGGGGCCCATCCTGGAAAAAAGGAGGACATGGTGAGGGGCGCCGAGGCGCAGGACGGAGTCCAGAAGTGGCTCGACGCGCTGGACGAGGAGGCGGAGGAGGATGTGGGAAGGCTGAAGAGGGGTGTCCTGGAAGCCTCGGGGATCGCAGGTGCCCACCTGGGACACAAGCGTGCCTGGAAGGAGGAGAGCCAGGACAATACCGCGGTGCAGGAGGCCTACCGCCGTATGGGCGACTACACGGACCAGTTCTATCATGGCAAGGGCTTCACGTTCAACATGTATTACAAGTGCGCGGCCAACAAGACCTGGGACAATACCAGGGGATGCTGCTCGGTGATCCGATCGGATCGCTGGTCACAGCTGCTCTCATGCGCACAGGAGGCGGCGGGGGAGACTGGGCCAGCGCTGGTACTGCCATTGCGGTGCGCGCTACTCGACCTCCTACGGAGTCTGCATCGAGTTCATAGAGGAAGAGTCGGACCCGCCACGCGCGTACTACATGCACGCGGAGCATCCCGAGGAGGACATCCGTGACTTGAAGGCCCTGCTGCGCTACGACAAGCTCAAGAAGGAGGGGATCTCAGTGGTCAGCGCGGTGGACCTCCTGAGGTACCTGCCCAAGGTCGGGCCGCTGGCGGTGGGCACCGTCTTCAAGCGCTACGCTCCACACCAGGCGCAGTGGGAGGGCCACTATGTGCTGATGGAGGGGCTCACCTGGGAGAGCCTGGCCAAGTTCGAGTGGACCGACCTCTACGCGCAGGTCGCCTGGTGGCTGAACGACCCAGAGTGGGCGGGCTACAGCAAGAAGGCGCGGAACAACGCCAAGAGGGAGCGCCTGGAGATGGCGCACAGCGAGCTGGCGCTCTACGAGCGCCGCCTCAACCTGCGGGAGGGCAGCCTCTCGGGCGGCGGGGGTGGTACAGGGGCCGCCCCGCGTGCCACCCCCGTTTGCGGCGCCAGCGCCCCCCCAGCGAGCGGGGCCCGCGACAGCCAGGACCCGCCACCACCGCCTGTCGGAGTCCCGCCAGAGGCCGCGGCCATCATGGCCCCACCGCCGCCGCCGCTGACGGCGCCCCCTGATGTGCCGCCGCCGCCGACGCACCCGCCACCGCAGACGGACCCGCTCCCGCAGCAGATCCCAAATGCTGCAGCCCTGAACGTGGCCCTTGGTGAAGACCTTGAGCGCCAGATCTTTGGGCCCTCAGGGCAGGCGGGGGGCAGTGGCGACCTCGGTGGGGAAGTGCAGGCGCTGCCGTCGCAGGTCTTTGCGGCCATTGCGCAGGGAGCAGGCCAGCAGGCCTGAATGATAACGCCCAGCAGGTTCCAGGGCCTCGACAGGCCACGTGAGTCCATGCCAAGGTGTCTAGCTAGCCACTTGCTGTAGTGCGGCGTGCCCACAGTGGCACCCCCCTCGCGTGGCTGCATCTGTGGCTTTTGCCTCGGCTCGGCGCATGACCACCTGTGCGCCCAGCCACTTTGGCTCGCCAACTGGCTTGCCATCTCGGCCTCCTCACGTTCACTTGCGCTCGTTGGCCCCGCTGGCGGTGCTGGGGCAGCCCCGTGTACTGCAGCGTCGCCGTCGGGCGCCTGGCCATTTTGGCCTGCCATCCTGGCTTCCTCTCGCGCCTCTCGCGCTAGTAGGCCTTGATGGCAGTGCTGGGGTCGCCCCGTGTGCTGCTACGCCGCCGCCAGTGCCTAATTTTTTGCTGTAGGGACCAGCTGCCCTCGGCCAGGCGCCTGCTGCTACATGCGCGTCAGACCCGCCCTTGGCTTGCCATCCAGGCCTCGTCTCGCGCCTTCTCGCGCTAGTTGGCCTGGGTGGCGGTGCTGGGGTCGCCCCGTGTGCTGCTGTACCGTTGTTGGCGCTTCACTTTGGGCCGTTGGACCAGCTGCCCACAGTGCAACCGCCCGACGTTGCAAGCATGTCAGACCCGCCCTTTCACCCAGAAGAGGTGCGCGCTACATACTGGCAATGAGGCAGCCACATGGACGCTCTTCCCTAGGTGGTTGAGCCGTGGTGATGTGGTGCACGAGACCGCCAGTAGTAGTAGTCGTAGTAGTAGTAGTAGTAGTAGTAGTAGTAGTAGTAGTAGTAGTAGTATTAGTAGTAGTAGTAGTAATATTGGTAGTAGTAGTAATAGTAGTAGTAGTAGTAGTAGTAGTAGTAGTAGTAGTAGTAGGTAGTAGGTAGTAGGTAGTAGTAGTAGGTAGTAGTAGTAGTAGTAGTAGTAGTAGTAGTAGTAGTAGTAGTAGTAGTAGTAGTAGTAGTAGTAGTAGTAGTAGTAGTAGTAGTAGTAGTAGTAGTAGTAGTAGTAGTAGTAGTAGTAGTAGTAGTAGTAGTAGTAGTAGTAGTAGTAGTAGTAGTAGTAGTAGTAGTAGTAGTAGTAGCGTAGTAGTAGTAGTAGTAGTAGTAGTAGTAGTAGTAGTAGTAGTAGTAGTAGTAGTAGTAGTAGTAGTAAGTAGTCGTAGTAGTAGTAGTAGTAGTAGTAGTAGTAGTAGTAGTAGTAGTAGTAGTAGTAGTAGTAGGTAGTAGTATAGTAGTAGTAGTAGTAGTAGTAGTAGTAGTAGTAGTAGTAGTAGTAGTAGTAGTAGTAGTAGTAGTAGTAGTAGTAGTAGTAGTAGTAGTAGTAGTGTGGTGTGGTGGTGAGTAGGAGTAGTAGTGGGAGGAGGAGGAGGGGGAGGAGGAGGGAAGTGCAAGGGGGAGGGGAGGGGGAAAAGGAGGGAGGGGAAGGGGGAGGATGAGGAGGAGGAGGAGCAGGATGAGGAGGAGGAGGAGAGGAGATGCGGAGGAGTGGAGGAGGAGCAGGATGAGGAGGAAGAGGAGGAGGCGGAGGAGGAGAAGGAGGAGGTGGAGGTGGAGGACGAGGACCAGGAGGAGGATGATGAGGACGGTGGAGGAGGAGGAGGAGGAGGAGGAGGAGGAGGTGGAGGAGGAGGAGGAGGAGGAGGGAAGGGCCGTCTGGAAGAGCAGCCCGCGGCCTACCGCGGGGCATGCGTCGGGAGCCTCGCCGGGGGGCCCGCGCTCCGAGGGAGAGACAGGGAACATTCGCCGATGTCTCGCACATGAGAGTTGTGTTTGTCCTCGTGTTGCGATCGTCGTCCCTCCTCCTCCCATCCTCGATTTCTTCCATTTCTCCTCCTCCTCCTCCTTACCCTCCTCGTTCTCCTCATCCTCTTCTCCGCTTCTCCTCACATCCCCTCCTCCTGCTCCTGCTCCTCCTCCTCCTGCTCCTCCCTCTCCTCCCCCCTCCTCCACTTCCTCGCGCGCTTCCAGGCAGGAGAAGCCGCCCGACAACCTGGAGGGCCCTCCCCCCGACGCAAAGTTTACGGATTCTGGCCTCGGCTACAAGGTGCGCGGTCGCCCGCCGGAACGCGGCCTTCGGGAGACATCTCTGCGCCCTGCGAAATAGTTTGTGCGGGTGCGTTTTCTCTCCGAAGCGGGGCTTCTCTGCCCAGAGAGTGATGGTGCTAATGATGGCGATACTAATGCTGCTGCTGATGATGACGATGATGACTTTATGATGATGCTGCTGATGATGATGATTCTGACGATGAGGTTGATGAATAATTTCATGATGGTGATGGACATCAACATGATTATCATACTGATGCTGATGACGATGATTCTGATGATGATGCTGATTTTGATGATGCTGATGATGATTATGATCGTGATGATGATGCTGATGAAGATGACGGTGACGAGGGTTCTGCTGCTGCTGCTGATGATGAAGGTGATGCTGATGCTGATGACGATGCCGATACTGCTGCTGCTGATGACGAGGATGAGGAGAAGGCTGATGATGACGATGATGATGATGATGATGACGATGATGATGTTGCTGCTGATGATGCTGCTGATGATGGTAATGATGCTGATTCGGATTAGGATTCTGACTATGATTATGATGATGATGCTGCTTATGATGAGGATTCTGATGTTGATGATGATGCTGATGCTGATGCTGATGCTGCTGTGCTGATTACGATGATGCCGATTCTTATTATTATCTTTATTGTTGTTATTATTCTTGTTATTTCATACCATGATGATGCTGATGCTCATGCTGCTGCTGATGATGATGATGCTGATGCTGATGATGATGGTGGTGGTGGTTGTGGTGAGGATGACGATGGTGATGATGTCTCCGCTGCTGCTGCTGATGATGATGATGATGATGCTGCTGATGATGATGATGAGGATGATGATAACGAGATGACCTCGATGATGACAATGATGATGATGCTGCTGCTGCTGATGACGAGGATGAGGAGAAGGCTGATGATGACGATGATGATGATGATGACGATGATGATGTTGCTGCTGATGATGCTGCTGATGATGGTAATGATGCTGATTCGGATTAGGATTCTGACTATGATTATGATGATGATGCTGCTTATGATGAGGATTCTGATGTTGATGATGATGCTGATGCTGATGCTGATGCTGCTGTGCTGATTACGATGATTCCGATTCTTATTATCATCTTTATTGTTGTTATTATTCTTGTTATTTCATATCATGATGATGCTGATGCTCATGCTGCTGCTGATGATGATGATGCTGATGCTGATGATGATGGTGGTGGTGGTTGTGGTGAGGATGACGATGGTGATGATGTCTCCGCTGCTGCTGCTGATGATGATGATGATGCTGCTGCTGATGATAATGAGGATGATGATAACGACGACGATGATGATGCTGATGATGATGATGATGATGATGATGATGATGACGGTGATGCTGATGATGATGATGATGATGATGATGATGATAATGCTGCTGCTGCTGCTGCTGATGATGATGATGATGATGATGATGATGATGATGTGATGATGATGATGATGATGATTATGATGATGATGATGTTGATGATGATGATGATGATGATGATGATGATGATGATGATGATGATGATGATGATGATGATGATGATGATGATGATGATGATGATGATGATGATGATGATGATGATGATGATGATGATGATGATGATGATGATGATGATGATGATGATGATGATGATGATGCTGATGCTGATGATGATGATGATGATGATGATGATGATGATGATGATGATGAGGATGATGATGACGACGACGACGACGATGATGAGGATGATTTTGAGGCTGATGTTCATGCTGAGGTGAGCAGGCGAACCAGGAAATCCAGCCGCGAACAGGGAATCTCGGCTCCAGACGGGGCTCTTTTTTGGTCGAACGGTGACATTTTCCTGGGCCGACGGGGACATTCTTTACGCTTTGCGTGTCCCCACCAGCCCATCTCACAACAGCAACTCTTGCGAAGCATGCCGACAGTCGTGTTTTTTCAGGCGTGTGTCCGCTTGGCCCCGCATCTCTCCCCTGTTACTCCTTCCGCCCGCCTCCTTGTACATCCTCCTTGTGGGGGGAGCGGGAGAAGGACGAGGCGGAGGAGGAGGGAGAGAAAGCGCTCCTCTTGGTTTGAGTCGTTTGGGGTTTCTCGTCCTGGTGTGAGTCGTTCGGGCCCTTCTTCCTGGTGTGAGTCGTTCGGGCTCTTCGTGGTGTGAGTCGTTCGGGCTCTTCGTCCTGGTGTGAGTCGTTCGGGCTTCTCGTGGTGTGAGTTGTTCGGGCCCCTCGTCCTGGTGTGAGTCGTTCGGGCCCCTCCTCCTGGTGTGACTCGTTCGGGCTCCTCGTGGTGTGAGTCGTTCGGGGCCCGCGTCGTGGTGTGAGTCGTTCGGGCTCCTCGTGGTGTGAGTCGTTCGGGCGCCTCGTCCTGGTGTGAGTCGTTCGGGCCCCTCCTTCTGGTGTGAGTCGTTCGGGCTCTTCGTGGTGTGAGTCGTTCGGGCCCCTCGTCCTGGTGTGAGTCGTTCGGGCTCCTCGTGGCGTGAGGCGTTCGGGCACCTCGTCCCCTTTTGGGGCGTCTTGGGGGCCTCTTGGCGGCCCCAGGGGCTTCTAGGAGCGTCTTGGGTGCCTTGGGGGAGCCTCTTCGGGCCTCTTGGGAGCCTCTTGGAGGCCGTTTGGGGCGTCTTGGGGGCCTCTTGGCGGCCCCAGGGGCTTCCAGGAGCGTCTTGGGTGCCTCGGGGGAGCCTCTTGGGGCCTCTTGGGGGCCTCTTGGGGGCATCTTGGGGGCCTCTTGGAGGCCTCTTGGGGGCCTCCTGGGGACCTCTTGGGGCCACCTTGGGGCCTCTTGGTGCCTCCTGGGCGCTTCTTGGGGCCATCTTGGAGGGAATGGATCTGCGAAGAGGGGAGCTTTAATGAGCGCTGCTCCCTCGGAAGGGCAACATGAGGCCAAAACCTTCGTAACATCAATCATTTTGCCTTGAAGGAAGAGGGGAGCTTTCATGAGCGCTGCCCCCTCAGAAGGCCCAAATGGGGCCAAAACCGTAGTAAAATCAATGATGTTGGCTTCACAGAAGAGGAGAGGGTTTTTTCTCCCTCCCCCCGTCGGGGCCAGAATCCTCGTGAGGGGTGTAGTTTTTTAGCCCTCCCAGGAGTCGAAAAAGACCCCTCCAACGACCCGCGAGGCGCCCTCTCCAGGCCCAGGGGTAGGGGGTAGGGGGAGGGGTGAACCCCTCCCCGAAGGGGAAGAATGGGGGTTGAGGACAGAGAGAGCTCTCTAAACCACTCACGCCCAAAGGGCTGGTGGGATTCTCCGGGGGGTCCCAGGGCATTGTCCTGCCGAGGGAGGACATTTTCCAGGTTTAACGAGAAATTTCTTCATGGCCGACGGAGGATTACCGCTTCCGTTTTGGGTCCTCGTGAGATGAGACAAAAGAGAGACAGAAAGAGGTAGAAAGATAACAAAACATGGGAAAGATAACGAAACAGAGAGAGAGGGAGGAAGTGAGAGAGAGAGAGAGAGAGCGACCGAAGGAGAGCGAGAGGGAGTGGAGAGAGAGAGAGAGAGAGAGTGAGAGCGAGACAAATGAATTCATGAGAGAGAGAGAGAGAGAGAGAGAGAGAAAGAGCGAGAGGGTCAGATCAGGAAGCGCAGGAGGGGGCCGTGCCACCAGGCACGGAGTGGCGGCGAGGTTTCTGCGTCGTGCGCCGCGCGGGGGAGTTGCAGCTTGGGGAGTCGACGGCGTGAATGCGCGCGGCGGTGTGGCCAGATAAGCTGCGTCTCAATTCGGTGGCCAGGAGGTTGTTTTACTTCGGCATGCAGGTTCTGGCGGTCGCACTGCCCTCGAGGCGGAAAGAACGAACACGTCTGCTGTGCATCCATTGGTTGGTCGGCGCAGTGGATCTCGCACGTGTTGCCGAGGCCGCTTAGCGCGTTTTGCAAGGTAGTGTGGCTTTCCCAACGGCCCCCCTTGCATCCTTGTTTATCTGGTGTGCTGTACGCGCTAACTGGAATCATGTGCTCGGTTGTCTTGTCGGATAGATGCTGTCATAATCATTGTTCTTGCCCTAAATGTAGACACCTGGGGAGGTCGAGATTGTTTCGTTAAGGGGTGAGGGAGTGGGTTCCCATTAGGGTGGGCTTCATGTATTCTGGTGGTTCTCCGGGGTTCACGGAGCAAGGTCGGGGTAAGCCAATTCCTCATTCTGTAGTGCTGGTGCGCAGCGACGGGATTAGAGTATCGATCGCGGTGATGAGGTGCAATTCGAACAGAGAAGGGTGTGCATGCGCGCAGCGATGTGGCCAGAGGTGCTGCGATTCGGACACTGCGTTCTGAATGTTTGCGCGGTCCTTCAATTCATCTGCTGGGACACTGTGGCAATTTGGTGTGTCGTTCTTGCGGTCGCTGTGGTCTTGAGGCGGCAGGACTGATTGCGTTTGTTGTGCGTCGATGGGTTTGCTGGCGCAGCGGTTTTGAGTCGTTTTCTGGTTTCTTGTAAACGCGCGTGGTATGGTTTAGTGGCATTCTCAGCGGCACCATTGCGTCTTCGCCTGCTCAGCGTCTGAAGACAATGCTAAGGCGTATGCTTTGGCGCCAAAAGGCTTCGCATCCTTGGCACTCATTTTCCTACGCGTGTTACTTGTAATCATGCCATGGGTTGTTCTTTGGCGTATCGTTCGCCGGGCCATCGGTCACTGCCCTAAAATTGAACACCCAGGGTGGCCGAGCGCTCTCCGGAAAAAGGTGTACTTTTCATGACTCGGGCAGGCGCGTGTTATTCAGATGTTCGCTTTGCATTGTTATGTAGTCGTTGCGAATCGGAAGAGGGGGTTTCGAAGGCTGGAGATGGGGTCTAGAGGAACAATTGCGTTTACAGGGTTCGTTTCTCGCGTGCGTTCGGGTCTCGTTCAGTGTTGTTTGGAGGCTTCCAGCCAGAGATTCGTCTTACAGCGTTCGTGAGTTTCCTCGTTCGACGCCTCTTGTAGTCATGTGATGGATTGAGGGGCTGGCGGAGGCTGAGAAGGCTGGAGGGCCTCGCTGAGGATGCTTGAGGGGCCTCGTTGAGGAGGCTGGGGGGCCTCACTGGTAGGGTGGACGAGCTCTGCCCTTCTGTAGTAGGTTCGCGTCGTGTCGACCAGCGGCGGCACCGCCGCTGGCGTTCAAGGCTGAACGCCGCTGGCGACACAGGATCGGTCGACGTGGAATGATCTGACGTTTCGGAAACGGCCGATCGTTCAAGGTTGAACAATCCCCGCCGTGTCAGGAACCAACGCCGAAGTCGGCACGGCACGAACCTGCCGTACGCTCGTCTCCTCCTCTGCCTCGTCTTGCATTCTTCGCCCAAGGTCCAGGGATGGCCCCCCCCAGGTGCTGCAGGCGGGCGCGGGCGCCCCGCCCACGCTGGAGTCGAACATCACCGCCGTGTACTCTGGGTATCCGCAAAGCCTGCGGCCCCCTCCGGCGCTGCGCGGCCCCGAGACTCCCTTTCTTCCTCCTCCTCCTCCTCCTCTTCCTCCTCCTCCCCATCCTCCTCCCCGTCCTCCTCCTCCCCCTCCTCCTCTTCCTCCTCCTCCTCTTCCTCCTCCTCCTCCTCCCCTTCCTCCTCCTCCACCTCCTCCTCCTCCACCTCCTCCTCCCCCTCCTCGTCCTCCTCTTCTTCCTCCTCCTCCTCCTCTTCTTTCCGACTCGAACGATAGGCGATCGGACAACAGAACAGTTAACACATGTAGCAGTGTTCATGCTTGCAAGAGACGACTGGTTCACCATGGGCGTTTGGTTCAAGGTACCTTGCCGCGCCCGCTCGACATGATGTTTCGCTATACACCCGCTATACAAAGCATCGATTTCTCTACACCGCTTTACATTTTAGTAGTTGGTAACGCAGCACGTTGCCCCGTGATCCACAACCGCCATGGCCCGCGCGGCACTGCCTCGCGCCCATGGCGTCCGCTCTACATCGGCGCTCACGTCGACCCGCTGTGCACCTGCTTTCGCGTGCTTCGTTCGTTTCGTCCAGGCCGGCGCCGCGCCTTCAGGGGCCGGCAGGGCGCTTCTCGCCCACCCGCCAGGATTGGCGGAGCAGGAACTGCACGAATTCATTGTCAAAAGACACCTTCGCGAAGGACGGCGTGCCCCGCGCCCCGGCTTCCCTCTTCGGGCATTGTCGAATTGTGTTCGAGATGCTCGGGGACCCTTCGTCGTCACGGCACTCGCCTGTGAGTGCCGCCGTCTGCGTCAGACCGTCGAGCGATCGGACTTCCACAACCACGGTGTCGGCACAGGGCCCCGAATATTCGTAGCTGTGTTGCGGAAGTCCGAGGGGCAGAGGAACAGAAAACACCGCCCTCATTGCACCCGCATGTAGGCATAGCTAACTATGTCAAACAGTCTTTCGATCCGTCGCTCACATCGTGGGCGTCGGCAAGGCGCCCCGAGTTCTCCGCGAGTAATGTCGTGGGAGCCAGGGGGCGCGCGCAGGCGAGGGCGGGAATGCAAAGGAGGGTCGGGCAATAATGTTGCCATTTCTCTGGGGGACCGGGGAGCCGTTGCACAAGCTTGGAACTTTCCGTTCTCCGTTCTCTGGGGCAAGACCCCCGCTGTTACTTGCGCGCTTCTTGCTTGCTGGCAGTGCTGGATCCCCGCGCGTGCTCCTCTAAACTATCGTGCAGATGGCAACGCTCAGTGCAGTAACCGTGCGACGTACGACGAGTTCTATCGCCGCTATATGCGGGGGTGCTGCGAGTGCAGTCCGAGCGCCAATCGCGCGACATAAAAGTAGACCCGATGAGGTGATGATGAGGAGGAGCGCGCCCGGGACAGATGCCCACCGCGGCTTCGAGGATCACTGCCAGAACGCCGCAGTTGGTGGGCGCAAGATCTGTCGCGTCTCCTCGACGCTTGGATGGGGGCTCTACACTGGATGGAAGGCAACCAGAGTGGGCGTGGTCGCTGCTATCAGCTGCTTCGCCTGCGTGGGCGCGGGCGGTGGTGGCAGCGGTGACGTGCGACGCCTCCGCGCCTGGGGGCCCGAGCCGCGAGCTGTCGTGCCCTTCGAACGCTGGGTGCGGGAGGTGATGATCTGGTCAGTGGCGAACTTGGACCTCGACGAGTGTCGCCGGGCGGCCCGCGACTCGTCTCTTGGCCAGCATCGTTCGCGAGATCGTGGACGAGTGGCCGCTGGCTGTCCTAGTCCAAGGTGGTCGTATCAACGGCGACCCAGTGCCGCCCGTGGCCTTCCTCGCGCACAGCTCGGCCGAATGGTGGGGCCAGCTTGGAGAGGGGTGGCGCGCGCAGGCGGTATCGGCTTCGATGAAATTCAACCGATTGCCGCAGGAGCGCGTCGAGTACTCCCTCGCCATTTTCGACGTCGCCCGTGACAGAGCACGGCAGGCTGGTCAACTCACCTTCGGTTGCGAGGGCCTCGGCGACCTCTTGCAGCGCGGTGGGCGCGTCGAATGTTCGGCTCGCTGTGATCCTTCGGCGCTGCGGCGTGACCTACCCAACAGACGTGCCGCAGCTGGCAATGGTGGGGTAGCTGCGCAGATTCGGACAGGTGATCGAGGGCTCGCCGGGCAAACTCGCCTCGGCCGTGCGCGCGTCCCAGCGCCGAGCGTTCCCCGCGGGCGCGCAAGCGCGCGATCAGGGTCAGTGTGCCGCTGGTGCCTGATCCGGATCAAGCTGGGGTTCCATGGGCCTTTCTGCCCCTGGGGCGACACCGAGTCCGCCCGCGGCGCCTGCCGCCGCCAGCGCCGACGCGTCAGCAGCGCCGCGGGCGGCACATCCAGCAGCAGGTCTCGACTCAGGCATCGACTCCGACGCCGTAGTTCCCGCAGGGCTGCGCGGCGCTCACCTCTTGGGCCTGCGGGCGCGCCGAGTCCTGATGGCGCCGCTTCCGCGGCGACGTGCCCGCGCGCCGTGTGCGGAGGGCCGTCGAACGTCGGGGCCAGGGCCAACGGCCGCCGCGAAACCTTCGCCGGCTTCGGGAAGGGCAGGGGTAGGGGACAGGGCAAGCACAGGTCCGGTGAGCTGGGGCCTGGCCGACAAGGCAAGCCGCCGGGCCTGGGCGGGGCGCGTCTCAAGTGCCGCGAGTGCGACTCGGAGGAGCACCTCGTGCGTGACAATCCCCGTCGGCGCTGGCAGGGGCGCGCCTTTTTAGTCGGCGCCCCAGCCTCGGCGGCGGCGCCGCCGCCGACGCAGGCTTCCTCGCCGCTTAGGCACCTGGGGCGCCGCGGAGCGCCTGGACCAGCCGCTCAACAACCATCGCCAGGTGCCTATTCGGTCTGGATGGGCCAGGAAACCTACGGGTTGCCCGAATCTGTAGTTCTTGGGCCCGGTGGCGGTGGCCCATGCAGAACGCCGATCTTTGGGGGGGCGGCCGGCCGATTCTAGCATCGGGAATTGCGCGGCCAGCGCCAGTAGCAGCAGCGCCCCGTGCTTCGTCCGACGGCTCCTGGCAGGCAGTTGGCCACAACCATTGGTGAAATTGGGTGCGTACTTCATCGTCTTCATCGGCTTCCCCCGTCCGCCGCGAGGCCGAACTCCGGCGACTGCGCCGGGGGATGGGCGACCTCGTGGGCCGCGTGCGACGGGGCTCTGCTCGATCGACAGATAGGGCCTATATTGCCAGTCCGCGCGGCAGGAGTGGAGAGCGCGGCAGCTGCCGCGCCCGCTTCCCTGGCTGCGTCCGCTGCGCCGCCGTCGCCGACTCCGCAGCGCTGGGCCAGGGTGGCCGGTGCTCTCCCGCTGGGGCCACAGCGAGGGCGCGACTGGGTCAGCGGCATGCCCGAGCCGCCTTGCCAGCTACCCCGCCTGCCGATGTGCAGATGCCAAGCTTGACTTATATGCCAGCAGTATCAGCATTCGGCATCGTCGCGCCATGTGGGTCGAGCTCCACGTGGTCACCGCAGTCCGCGCCACCGGGGGCAAAGTCCCAGCGATCTGGCTCTCCTCAACCAGCGCGCCTCTATTGGCGTGATCCAGCCATCTGGGAGAGTTGACATGTGGTTCGCCGGCCGCGACGCCTGGATGTTCGGAGACGCGCGATCCGAACGCGGAGTAGGTCGCGCGCGACCGCGCGAGACGACGACGCATCGACGAGCGACGCAGCACCCAGCTAGCATTTGCTCTCTAACGGCAACAGGGCGAGCAGCGACGACGAGCCGCTCAGAGTTGCACTGGAACCCCGAATGATCTTCATCCTTTGCCAGCTGCCGCGCCAGCTGCATCTCGAGTCGCGGTCTTCAATGGCAACGACAGGGTATGTCGTGCCTGTGTCGAAGCACTCGCGCAGGCTGATCGAATTGCGCGCCTGCAGTGCTGCCGCATCTTGCACCGGGCATGCCGCCTGCAGCCCGCGCAGAACACCGACGCTTTGCCTGGTGGTCTGCCCGGCGTGCCGCGGCCCAGCTGACGTCGTCGCCGAGTTCTGCTTCGTTGGCGCAGATCGTGCTTCCGCGGGTCCAGCCAGTGTGTTGCTGGCCCGTGCGGCGGGCTCTGGTGCTCTGGGCCTGGCGCCTGTTGCGCTGGCCCCGCCGATGACAGACGACGGCGAGCCAAAGGAAACACCGCCGCAGCAGGGCGCCTTCCAGAGCCCTCGGCCCGCGCCGACACTCAGGAATCCGCGGCAGGATCTTATGCAGTCCCCTGGCAGTGCTTCCAGTCTTGCGTCCGCTGACGGCGTGGCAGTGCTGTGCGGTGCCCGCCTGGATTTGCATGCTCCACCGTTGCCGACCGACTCTCTCGTGGTGGCCCACCTCGCCAGGTACAGGGCCGAGTCCACCGACCGACTCGCCATGCTACCTGGCGAGCGCCGACTTCCCAGTTGGCTGGCCTGGTGTCGTTGTGGCTACCAGCGCCTGGGCCAACCTGGGAGCAGCGCCACGCGATTAACCTGGCCGACAAAGCCATGAAGTCTTGGCGTCGACCCGCAGAGGAGACTGACTTCTCCACTTTATGTGGCAGGAGCGTGCAACGGCTCACAGGTTGCCCATTGGTAGGTGCGCCGCCCTATCGCGGTAACCACCCGCGGCTGCGTGGCCACCCAGCGCAGCACGCGTGCACCTGCAATGGAGGGCGACGAGACAGGCGGAGCACGAAAACGCTTCGCGTTCCCCGGTCCTGGGAGCTATGAGATCACGCGGAGCCCAGGAAATGTGCGTTTCGACTTGGAACCGGCTCCAAGCGGCCACTTTTTGCATGCCAGTCGACAATTTCGACTTTTTCCGAACGCCTGCCGGGGGTCTCCCACCTAAACAGCTCAGACTACCAGCAGTGGGCGGTAACATCGAGGACTGCGACTCCAGCGACAGCCGAGGATCAAGAAGCTCAAGATACAGCCTCCCAGCCAGCCCCGGCGCGCAAGCACTGGTGCTGGGCTGCGCCTCGGGCAGCTGGCTACGACTTAATCGACTGCGCGGACGTCAGTGTCGTGATTTGCGGTTGCGAACTGGTGTTTGCGGGCGTGGCCGCTCTTGCGCCGCCGTGCGCCTGCAGGCGGACCGCCCTGCGCTCGGACCTAGCCCATCAGCGTATCGACGTCGCGGGCGGAGTGGCGGGCCCCGACTACCGCGGGGAGATCAAGGTGATCGTGCGTGACGCCAGCCCGCGGACGTTCGTGATTGTGCAGGGCCTGAGGATCGCCCATCTCATCCTGAAACGCATCACCACGGATTCCCGTATCGTGGTCGTCGCCGACCTTCCCGCGTCCTTCCGCGGCTCTGAGTGCTTCGGTCATGCCGGCATGGCGCGCCTCAGCTACGACTCCGCCCCGCAGGAATCGGGCACCGCAGCGTCAACGGGGTCTTGGGGTAATTATGTTGCCGAAGACTCCGCGCAGCCGCTGCGCGAGGAGGAGGGCGGGTCAGGCCGCGAGGATGGCCCAGCCGACCTGCCCCGGCAGAAGTGGGCAACGCGTGGAGTTATAGTAGGAAGCAGGAGCGCGAGAAGCATGCCTGAGCTGACGCGAGGGCAACTATGATGCCGGCGGGCCCACCGCAGCCGTGCTTGAGGTCTGCGCCGCCCTGGAGACCGCGGCAATCGAGCGCGGCGCCGATCTCCTGGCCAAGGTGGATGTGTCGAGGCTGGCCAAGGAGGTGGCCGCCGCCATTCTCGAGGAGCTCGCCATCTTGGTCAAGTGCGCGTGTTTCGAGCGACGCCCTCTCAAAGTCGCTCTGAGCGCTATGAATTACAGGCGCGTGTTCAAATAGAGGCACTCCAAGGGGTCGGACGGCGAGGCCGCCAGTGTCACCCGGTGCCGCGCGGCGCTGAGGGGCGTCCGCGGCGTGGGGGCCGGGGCCCTGGAGACGTTTGCCGGTGCGGCGAATCGGGCGTCTCAGCGCATTTTGTCTTCGGAGGCGGCCTGTCGCCTGGACTGGGTGTGCGTCGCCGTGGGCGTCGAGAGAGTTCCCGCGGGGCTTGGCCTGCGCCGAGTTGCAGGGGCAGGGTGAAGCGCCGAGAGGAGCTTCACTCTGTCTCGCGGCAGTGCGGCCGTCGTCATGCAAGTCCTAGGCTGCGAGTCCTTAACTCCGAGCTGACGTTGTGGGGCCTAGGGCTCGATGTCAAGCGCGAGGCGTCTGGCACCCGTGGTGCCGGCGTTTCAGAACGAGTGTCCATGTTGTTCAAGTGCGTAGACGACATGGGGATTGCTGGGCGCAAAGAGCACGTCGACTGGCTGATCGGCCGCGTCGACTGCGTCTTCGGCAAGATGAAGTGTGACTACGACGCTTTCCACCGACTGCGGTGTCCACCAACGCCGCAGTGCCGATGGCGCGCTGGCGCTCGACCTGGGCGGATACATCGACGCGCTGACCCCCGTCGGGCACGTCGACGTGGTCAGGGCGAAGGCCGGCGAGCCGGCTGGATGTTCTCTTCCAGGACTCCTTGTCTCTCTCTTCGGAGCGGCCGCCAGCGCGCTGCTCGCGCTGCGCCGCGTCGCGGCATGCGTGGTCGCTCTGCAGATGGCCGAGAACCAGCTGCGCATCGGGCGCGATGTGCATCTTAACTCCTTCGTTCTGGCCACGCAGAAGATCGCGTCGCGCGTCGCATTTCCAGCGGTAAATTGCGCTGGCCGACTCTGCGCGCGCGGCGACGGCTCGTTCGAGCGCGAGACTGGGAACGGCGTGATGGGGTTCAGTATATATATATATATATATATATATATATATATATGCGTCGAAGCAAATTCCGCAGGGCTGGGAAGGAGGTCTGCCGCCGGCCCCTGTCGCGAGCCAATCGCGCAAATTTGCGCGTGGAGCCTCTTTCGGCTCAGAGCTGATCGCCGCCTGCGTGGCAGCCGACGGACTTGAGGCCTACCTCCTGGCGCTCCGCGGGATGGTGCGTGAACCTGCTTCAGCCGAAGAGATAGGGGGGGCTGAGGGGGGAGGGGGGTTATGCGGTGCTGGCCGAGCTTGTGCTTGACGGCATGTCCGCGCATTCGGCCTGGCCATGGGCCCAGAGCGACCGCCGTCAGAGAACAGCATGGCCGGGAACCTCTGGTGGCTGTAGGATCACCTACTTGCCAAACAGAAAGACGATATCCCATGGCGCGACGCCAGAGACATGCGCGCCGACCCCGTGACGAAGGGCAGAGTTGGCCACGAACTGATTTTGGGCATCGTTGACGTCAGTTCCAGCTACAAGCACAACTTCGTCAAACTGATGGAAGAGAGGGCCAATAATTCTGCCCCCAGCTCACGACACAGTCACTTGAACAAGGAGATCGACGACGCCGCAGGCTAATTAACTTGTCGTTGCGTCTCCCGAACTATGTTCGCGAATGCGACAAAACCGTCAACCATTTACTACAAGTACCTCGGTAACAATGCAGTTCGATGCGGAGGGCGAGAGCAGTGCAGAAGTTCGCATGTCATGAACTGTGTTCGCGAATTTGATGCAGCTATCACCTCAGTGAGGGGCTGTCATCTGGAACTATGTTCAAGAGGCAGCTGGTGAGTTGTCAGTCCGTTGGCGCTATCCAATTGCTTGCTGCCAGTGCTGCTTCGTTCGATCAGGAACCTTGTCAGTAGATTGTTGCCAGGCATTGCGACTTTCTATAAGAGGACTGGTAAGTGTAACCCGTTCGATGCCTTGTCCGGCGCGTTAACTGTTTACCGTTGGCTGTCCGTTGTGGCTTGTTGGTGGTCCGGATTGCTTGCGTCCGGGCAACCAGCGAGACGCGACGGAACCGTTCGAGCACCAGGCTCGAACGGTAGGCTATCGGGTAACAGGGCAGTTAGCACCTGTAGCATTGTTGCATGCTTGCGGGGTACGGCAGGGTTTACCATGGGCGTTTGGCTCAAGGTACCTTGCCGCGCCCTTCCGCTATACACCCGCTGTACATCTCTTTACGGATCAGCATCGTTTTCTCCACACCGCTCTTCATTCTAGTCTCTTCCGCGTCCACCTCCGCCTCATCATCTTTCGCGCCCTCCTCTTATTGGGCGGGTGGACTCAATTTGCCAAGCTTGCAGCGTTCGGTAACACGAAAACGCAACAAGCAACCCGACTGTAGCAAAACGCGCAACGACTTAATCTGAGCGAG